GATTTACAATAGATGAATAACAATCGCCACAAAATTTCAGACGAAGATGTTTCTCAGGAATTTCTTGAGAAAGTTCTAAAGGATTATTACTGCTACGGAGACTCCTGCAAGGGCTGGGAAACAAATGTAATTACACAACCTAAAACAGTAAAAAACATTGTTGATGTTGGAGCTTCAAGAATAGCAGCAGGAAAAGGTGTTGGCAATTCGTTAAAAGATAAAAACATTGCTTCCAAGATCGATCACACAATGCTCAAGCCTGATGCAACCCCTAGTGAAATAGAAGAACTTTGTGAAGAAGCAATGAAGTATCACTTTGCATCGGTTTGTATTAATCCGGGTTACGTCTCTCTGTGTTCTTCACTATTAAAAGGAACAGAGGTAAGAGTATGTACAGTAGTCGGATTCCCACTTGGTGCAAATACGTCCGAAGTAAAGAAATTTGAAACCGAGCAAGCTATTCAAAACGGAGCTACAGAAATCGATATGGTAATAAATGTAGGTAGACTAAAAGCTGGCGATTATGAATACGTTGAGAATGATGTCACTCAGGTTGTGCAGTTAGCAAAAAGTAATAATGCATTAGTGAAAGTAATCATTGAAGCAGCACTTTTAACTGACGAAGAAAAAGTTAAAGCCTGTCTGATTTGTAAAAAAGTCGGTGCTGATTTTGTAAAAACCTCAACAGGGTTCAGCAAAGGCGGCGCAACTGTTGGTGATGTCGCTTTAATGAAATATGTGGTTGGCAGCTCAATCGGAGTTAAAGCTGCTGGAGGCATCAGATCAAAAGAAGAAGCTGAAGCAATGATCGCTTCGGGTGCGGATAGAATTGGTGCCAGTGCTAGTGTTAAAATTGTTTCAAGTTGAGTTCAGGTTAGTTTAAACAATGATACTCGATGTTGTTGTTACCCAGACTAATGATGGCTATACAGCTGAAATCCCTTCACTTCACGGCTGCGAAAGCTGGGCTCACGATGAAGATACTGTCCTATCCAAGATTCTTGAATTAGCTGCCTTCTATCTCAAAACCGACATTAAAAAATTCAAGCTTGACAAAGCAAGAAAAGTAAAAAACCATTCTGTTTACAAATTGGTGTTCTATAAAAGTGTCTGATTCATATTTCAGAACTGAAAAACGAATTGAAAAAATCAAATGGGTAGTTTCAAAAAGACAACCTTCTCTTCATGTTGTATTTGAAAACATCCACGACCCACATAACGTAAGTGCTATTTTCCGTACCTGTGATGCGGCTGGAGTACCTAAAGTATCTTTAGTTTATAATGTTGAAAAATTTCCAAAGATAGGAAAGAAATCTTCTGCATCTGCATACAAATGGATTGAAAGAGATAAGTATAAATCAGTCGATGAGTGTTACAATCAACTTAAAAAAGAAAAATTTATCATTTATGCATCGTCACTCAATGCAGATTCAAAAAGTCTTTACGAACTTGATTTCACAAAAAGGACAGCGATTGTTTTTGGAAACGAACATAGAGGATTATCAAAAGAAGCTGAAGAGCTTGCAGATGAAAGATTTTATATTCCAATGTTTGGAATGGTGCAAAGCCTGAATGTATCAGTATCTGCAGCGATTACAATTTATGAAGCACTCAGGCAGAGAAGTCTGAAGGGACAATATAATAAAAGTGAAATGACCTCAAAAGAATTAAAAAAACTCATTGATGAATGGGCTAAAAAGTAAAATCTGTTACAAATGATTCAATCCTTTAATAAAATTAATAAAGTATCTAATACATTATCTCTTTCTGGAGATAAGTCCATATCTCATCGTGCACTTCTGATCTCTTCTCTCGCGGAAGGCAAATCCTATATAAAAAATCTTTCTAACAGTGATGATGTTAAATCAACAATTAGTTGTCTTCAAGCTTTGGGGATTGAAATCGAGTTTAATGAGAAAGAATTTATAGTTAATGGCAGAGGAGACGAAGGTTATAAAAAGCCTGTATCTCCAATTGATGCAGGGAACTCAGGCACAACGGCAAGATTGTTAACTGGCA